TCCGCTGTTCATTGCGTGTCGGATTATTCTCCGATCCGCCCCGGTCCAACCGGGGGAAGATTCGAACTGACGGTGTCGAGCTCCCTCAAACACCCGCTGTTGATTCAGAAGCTTTCACAGTCTGAGGTGTTTGGTCCCCATACGTCTTCGCTCTGCTGATTTGTTCTTGTGCCCCGCGACTCTGCGGTGTTTCGTCAGTCCTTCTTGTCCCCGGCGACCTGTGCCGATGTTGTGATTGTGTGTCGAGCGGTTGGAAAGGCGGGTGGGGGAAAGGGAGGTAAGGTGGCTGGGGGAGGGGTGGAGAGAGGGGGAAAGGGCAAGGGAGAGGGGGACGGTGACCACAGGCATGGTAGGTATAGTGGGTGTGGCTATGGGAGGCCGGGAGATTGTTGGATCGGGGGGGCTGGCAGAGCCAGCAGTTGGGTTCGGGTCGGGCAGGGTGGTTGTGGTTGCGGTGGGGCAGGTGGCACGGCGGTCCGCGGAGGACGGTTGGTTGTGGTTGCGGGGGGCCTGGCAGAGCCAGCAGTTGGCTTCGGGTAGGGCAAGGTGGTTGTGGTTGCGGTGGGGCAGGTGGCACGGGGACCTTCAAGACACTGAAGGGTTTCCTCTGCCAATCAGGTTTCGTGCTCCTCCATGGTTCCATGTGATGTTAAGGGCGGCATCCAGTTCTGGAAATATTCTGTTGGGGTCTACGATCTCTCAAGTGAGCTCATCATTTACCTTTCTCTTGCATGTGCGGCCTACGTAAGTAAGACCCCACCAGTGGTACTGATCCTCCCATATACACTTAGAAGTTAGAACACAGAGTAACCAGTCAAAAGGGAGCTATGGTGGACCAGTAGTCTCAGGAGGGACGCTGGGCCCGGTTCCCAGCACATGCTGATCCATAATCAGAATATTGTATCTCAGGGGACGCTGGACCCGTTTTCCAGCAGGTGACAGACAGCTCCCCACCAATAGACTGGAGTCCCCTGCAAGATAGGTAGGAGTGTATGCTCTTACCATCACTCCTTCCTGTTGTCGCGGGCGGATTGTTAAAAAAGAAAAAAGAATGACAGTGAGTTTGCGATAAAGCAAAAACACAGAGTAAGGAGGGAAAGCAGTTGCCGCAATCACAAATCCCACATAACCTGAACTATATGTTTCATCAGGGAAGGGATAAGGCTTGCAAAGCCAAGCCGCCGCCTCTCGCACATCCCACTGACACATGTGTCTTCTATTATCATCGTAAGGGAATGGGAGCAAGGTGCAATCAGAGGCTCCTCAATCATCAAGGGGCTCGGCGGGGTAGGAGTATTCTCGAGAATATATGCAATCGCTTTCTCAGGCAGCATGCATGAACCAGTCCAAGTTACATTATAAAGAGAAAAGGCATAATCAATGAACCAACCATGATTTCCAAAAAAAAAAAAAAAAAAAAAAAAAAACATGAAAACATTCACATGCTAAGCTAATAAGAGAAAAGAAAAGGCAGTAATCAATGAATGAACCAACCATGCATTCTATCTCTTAGAAGTTAGAATCAAAGGGGGTTTAAGGGGGTAAGTTAGGACAGATCAAATGGAGTGGGGACAGGAGAGAAGAGGGGGATGAGCAGAGGGATGAATTCCAAAGAGACTACCGCCCAAAATTTTATGATTGGACAAATGTGGATCCTTCTGTACCCCTTCGGCCTCTATCGGACTTCCCAGACCCTTTTCCCTCCCTCTTCCTTATGCTTGGTCCCTATGAGTTGGTATGGCAGTGTATAGGAAGAGGTGTTTTGTTGTTCCTTATTCAGCTGAAACTCAGTCTACTCTCTGCAATCTGCAATGTTTAGCTACCAGGTCCTATGCTATGGGCTGTCGCTGGATCCTTCTGTACCCCTTCGGCCTCTATCGGACTTCCCAGACCCTTTTCCCTCCCTCTTCCTTATGCTTGGTCCCTATGAGTTGGTATGGCAGTGTATAGGAAGAGGTGTTTTGTTGTTCCTTATTCAGCTGAAACTCAGTCTACTCTCTGCAATCTGCAATGTTTAGCTACCAGGTCCTATGCTATGGGCTGTCGCCGCCCTGTATATGGGTGAAGCGGTAGCGTCAGTTGATTGGCAAGAGCTAGATTAGTCAAGAACAACATTATGTTTTCTCTACAGATCCAGCACCCCACTTTTGGGTGAAGGGGTAGTTTGCACGGTCTCCATCTGCCTCCTTGGAGTAGGTATGGTCTGGGGTTAAAAGTGCAGGTTGCACTCAAAATGTGTTGTGCTGCGGGAAGTTAGCCAGTTCTGTTTTGTGGATCGGGCCCTACAGCAGGGTGACGAGGTAACTCAGGCAGCCCCCATTTCTTCACCTGCTCTGTGACATCCCCCCCCCCCCCCGTCTCCCCTGGGGTAGTCAATGCTGCCTCCATCCATTCATGAAATACGGGATGATAATCATTCATTCCCTGCACCTAAGCTATGGTGCAGGGCAATGGGCACCTCTAGTCTAGCTACCGCTACAATCACTGATGCTCACTCTCTCCTCTTGCCAGCAGTCTGTTTCCACCGCCTCAGCACCAGCGCTCCAGCATCAAACAGCGTGAGGCAGGAACAAATGACTCAACTGTGGCAGACCGGTCTTTTGTAATGTTGAATCGGCCTGCCTGGCGTCCTTCGCCTCCTGATGGGGCTGAGATTTCTCGATCTGGACGGCCCAGATTTGATTTGTTGACTGCCAGTGTGTGCCTGGACCTTGTGGGTCTTAGAAAATTCTTAAATCTGCACTGAGCCATTAGTCTGTTTTTGCCTCCTCAGTGCTACCGTCTTCGCGTGAATAGAACGCCCGGTAATTATTGACGTATCTGGGATGAAAGTTGCACCAAAAACAGCTATAATGACTGGGCGTTATATTCGGGTGAAGACGGTAGCGCTCTCGGAGCAGCGCTCCGTCATCAAACAGCGCGAGGCAGGAATGAATGAGTCAACTGGGGCGGACCGCTCTTCTGTAATGTGTCGACTCGGCCCGGCCTGCCTTCTTTTGCCTCCTCATGGGGCTGAGATCTCTCGATCTGGACGGGACGGCAAAGATTTGTTGACGGCCAGTTTGTGCCTTGACCTTGTGGGTCTTCGAAACTTCTGAAATCTGCACTGAGCCATTGGATATGTGACATCTGTGGTCGTGGTTGATTCTTGAGAAATTTACAACCCTTTGCCTACGGAGCCCGAGTTGGGCCTTTGGCTGTTGACTTTCCTAAAGTCTGTCTCTAGTGTACTGGTACAGGGGTCCACAGGGTGCACTTTGTTTTTTAACCTTTTGACACCTGAACACTGACTAGGCCAAAAGTTACGACCCGTGAGTGTTTCTGGTGCGGATTTTTAACATGGTTCTTCGCACAAAATTTAATAAATAAAAATTCGGTCAAAGACAATAACGTACATTATTGGTCTTCGACTGAATTTTTTATTTAATATTTATAGCATTTCTCAGATTTCCTCCTAGACTCCCAGTGTTATTCATTTCCACTTAACTAAGTTTTAAGGAAAGAAGCTCAGGACAAGAGTAGCTAGCACATCCTGCGCTCGGTTATTTCTTCCACCACAGAACTTCAAGAAACAAGTTACCACAGTGAAAAACAACAACAAAAAAAAAAAAAGCACACATTGAAGGTCCCAACTTCTCTCAATTCATTGTAGTTCTTACTTCCATTAAAAATAATAATAATAATTAAATAATAATAATAAATAAATAAAATCTGCCAACTTCAGAAACAGATGGCTACCACATCCAAGAAAGGCAAACGGCGCGTAAATTAAAATTACCCAATCCTGACATAGGGAAGTAGAGACGGTAAATAATAATTACGGAACTCTTTCGAGTCCGGTAATTGGAATGAGAACCGTCCTAAATTCCTTAGAAAAGATTCTAATGGTTGTGAGAAGCGGGGGAAGGTAAGGGAAGGGGGGGAACCTAGGGGATGAAGGGGAGGTTAGCAGGTAGGGGGCAGAAGGCAGAGGGCAGAGGGAAAAACAAGTGAACAGGGCCAGGGGAGACAGAGAGGAGCATGAGTGCATTGAGATGTTGTCGATGACTTGCTGGGGGCAAAAGGGAACTGAACTCCTGCTCCCCAGAAAACATTGCAGTCAGGACCATAAGGTCCTGTTTCTCCATATATAATAAAAGAAAAGAAAAGAAAAGAAAAGAAAAGAAAAGAAAAGAAAAGAAAAGAAAAGAAAAAGACAGGAGCGCTGGATTACATGGCCTTCACAGTGGCTCGATGTGAAACAAAGGGTTGATTAACTTGGGAATTAGATATCGAAGTTCCGTGAATTAGTTAAAAAAAAAAAAAAAGTGATACTGCCTAGCCGACATGAATGCTTAGTGATCTTTTTACACAAGGATGAGTTACAGATGGACACAGGGGAAAGAGGAGTGGGGGAGTATGAAAATAGATGAGAGGGAAGGAGAAAACCCTCTCATACTTGATGTACAAGCATCCACATTTTGAGAAAACAAGCAAAGGAAAGGGCGACGAGAAGGGGGTGAAAGAGACAAACAACAAAGGTGACAATAAACGAGGAAGTGAAAAGCAGTAGCAGTGGCAGTAGCAGTAGCAGTAGCAGTAGCAGTAGCAGTAGCAGTAGCAGTAGCAGTAGCAGTAGCAGTAGCAGTAGCAGTGGCAGTAGCAGTAGCAGTAGCCGCAGTAGCAGCAGCAGTAGCAGTAGCAGTAGCAGTAGCAGTAGCAGTAGTAGCAGTAGCAGCAGTAGCAGTAGCGGCAGCAGCAGCAGCGGAAGTAGTAGCGGTAGTAGTAGCAGCAGTACTAGTAGCGGCAGCAGGAGCAGCAGCTAGCGGTAGTAGTAGCAGTAGTAGTAGCAGTAATAGTAGCAGTAGTAGTAGCAGTAGTAGTAGCAGTAGTAGTAGCAGTAGTAGTAGGAGTATAAGAAGCAATGGTAGAAGCAGTGGTAGTAGTAGTAATAGTAGTGGTAGTAGTAGCAGCTGTAACAGTAGTAGTAGTAGTAGGAGGAGGAGGAGGGGACAAATTATAATACACCTTGATATTGATTTCAATCAGAAAAATCAGACGCTGACGAGACACCATCCTCTTCAGATTGCTTGCCAATCGTGTTCCCTACTCGCAGAGCCAGGTTTCGCCAAATGTAAAAGCAAACCACACACGAACACACTACAAGTCCAAGTACTGACATTCCACAGGCTATTAAGATGAGTGGAAGCTTACTCCCTTTACTATAATAATAAGGTTGATCTGCCGAGGCTGCAGCTTGACTACCAGCCACGACGGACGATCTCACGGTGTTTGCCCTGGAAGATGCGCTTTGACCTGCTGCCTCTCCAGGCGAGCCCTCGTATGCTTGGCCTGAATAGTTTGTGATGCTCACCTGTCCAAAAGGGTCACCTTCTGCAGGGTTGCATTTCGGTGAAACTCCTCGGGAAGGTTGTGACGATGGGGGGACGAGGGCATGAAGCACTGAAGAGGAAGATGAATCGCCAGATGGAGACGATGAAGACACCGAGGAGGGTGGTGAACGAGATATGGGAGAGGAGGGTGGAGAAGCTGACGATGGTGTTGATGATGCCGACTCGCTGCTCATGATTGCTGAGGGGGATGAGGTACTAGATGAGGATGGCGGGGAGGCACAGGAGGAAGAGGAGGAGGAGGAGGAGGAGGAGGAATTGCCATCAAGAATCTCAGGATGCAAAGAACTTGAGGGAGGAAGAGATGAAGGGGACTGTGATAATGAAGAAGAGGGTAGGGGAGCAGATGGGGAAGGGCAACCGAGTTCATCCGATCCATCTCCACAGTTGTCCTCAGAATCGCACTGCAGTTTACTTGGTATGCATTTGCTGTTCCGGCAATGGAAGCCGGGACACGAATGACAGCCGTTCTCGTCAGACGCATCGGGACAGTCATATGTCGCATCGCACCGTTTGTTCCCGTCAATGCACCATTGGTCTTCGCCTTCGCAACGGTACTGATTTGAGTGACAGAGGACTTCGGCCTTCGCCAGGAGACCAGAGGGTTCATGCCAGACCAGTCCTTCACTCAGAATGCTTAGCACAACCAGAAAGGGCAAAGGGAGAGACAGAAAAGAGCCCCTCCAAGCAAGATCCTCCTTACCAACTACCCCTACCCCTACCCCTACCCCCACCCCTACTCCAGCGTGTTTTGAGTCCATTGACAACGGCACGGACATCCTTCTTTCTGTGGTTCTGAAACTCGTTCGCGCAACACGATCATCCCGTTCAGACTGTACACCGTGTTTGGCCCATAATTCCGCACATTCACCATTTTCTGCACAAAGTTCAAAGTTGAATCCCGTCAACTCATACTCCGTCCGATTGCGGTTTCTCTTCTTCTTCTTCTGCTGCGGCGGCCACCATTGCTCCATCTGCTCCTCTAAGACAGACAGGGAAGGAATCATCTCATCCTGATCGTAGTCATCAGACTGATTATCTGGCCGTCTCGACTGCGTCTCGTCCTGACCAGACCTTTTATCGGACGGCCCAGGTTTCATCTGCCGTTTGCTGCTCGATGCGACCGCAAAAAAAAAGCTGCATGACAGTTTGATCCCATCACCCCCTTTCACACTTGTCGCAATCACACGCAGAGGCAGTTTCCTCACTGAGCGGCCCAAAGCCACAATCAAAGTCAAACTTGCAGGGCATGTCGTTGACCGTAGTTCAGCAGGGAAGTCCCACCATACTCTATACTTTGTGCGCTGTGTGCCACCGGTTTCCAGCAACCTTCTTGCTGAGAGGAGCAGGTCTTTGTGACTTTAGGAACACGCCATGTAAATCCAGAATCTTTACACGCTATGGCTCAATCATCCAATGCAACTGCAATCACCAAGAAAACACAGCTGCTTTAGGAAAACGCCGTGTCAACAGTACCGTACGGAAAAGGAAACAAAAAGAGAAAAATAAAATTGCTGTTTTTCCAAGCTGAGCGGCCCCAGGAAGTTCAGGTTTTAGTTCATTCTTGTTTCATCTGGATTCGAACTCCATCGCCGCTTTCTAACAGGAAAAGAGAGGGGGTTGGGGGGTGGGTGGGGGGGAAGGGGGGGAGGAGAGGGGGGAGGATTTTAAGAAAATTGCTGTTCCTGGAGGAGTGATTTTCAGTTCTTAGCATTACTTCTCAATTCCCCTGTAACATCCGCTCTCATCAAGTCATTACTACCTGGGCCTCGCTCCACTACAGAACACTCAACATGCATTTGGACGCTTTCTGGACCAGGTGCATCCGGATGAGTTCAACATTTTGAATGTATCCGGTCAAGAAAGCATCCAAATGCATGTCAAGCGATGTGTAGCGGAGCGAGGCCCCTTGTTAAGTAAGTTGTATACGTGTTACCTTTATCAGAAGTTTGCCTTTTTTTTTTTTTTTTTTTTTTTGAGAAAACGCCACACTGGCGACTCGTACTCCAGGCGGCTATCCTTCTTTTTTTTCTTTTCCAAGATTTTGTTGGTATGCAGCAGTAACTATATAAGCTATTATATAGTAGAATAATACCTCCTTTTTTTTCTCTTTTTCCTTCCCGAAAGGATGATAAGCCAGTATTAACCCACCGGTACACCCGGGCATGGAGGCGCGTCGCCGCACTGCGCACCAAGCTTCGCCAAATCGCCAGCGGCGCACACACATTTTCTTCTTTGGCCGGTGCTGCCAACCACTGTGGTCCCGTAGCCCCGAGCCTCCAGAACTTCCGCACGCTACAAACTGATTTTTTTCCCTGCAAGTCTGGGACTGTGTACAAGCGGTTTACGACCCCAATTCTATAATTTAATAAATTAATCTTCAACCGAACTGACCTATACTTCCTCCTTACCTTTCTTTCTCTCTTTCTTTTTTTTGTTGTTTGTTTTTCCCCTTCCCCTTCCCTTTTTTTTTTTTTTTTTTTTAACAAAGCAGAATAATTTCTTTCATTCATAGATTGAAAATCGAGGCCGGGGACCTCACAATTCGACCCGGAATTATCTTGGCAGCATCAGCCAGTTTCGCTTACGATGTGACCAGGAAAAGAACAACTCCCAAATAACCACAGGACCTCTGATAACATTGTCACTCCCTCTGTTTCCTATGTGCCTCCTTCTCCTCTCAGCTACTCGATCTGTCGGCTATCCACGAGGCTCTAGAGCGTTGAGGCTGTCCCATTGGGCTTGAGTCCATTGACTAAACCCTAAACCCTACCCATGGACCCCTGTCTTCCTTTAGTCGGTTGTTTAAGCCCTTGTGGACTGAATACCAGACAGACTGGCATATTGTGTGCTCAAGCGTATCAAGGACGACCCCACAGAAAACAGGATATCTTAGATAAATTCACCAAGGAGACGTTGGGCCACCGGGAAACTGGGTAGTGTAGAGGGGGGACATGCCGAAACTACCCGTCTTCACCCGAATAGAACGCCCGGTCATTATCGCTGTATTTGGTGCACTTTTCAGTCCTGGTACATTCATAATGACCAGGCGTATGGAAGCTCACTGAGTGACCCCATGGACAGCGCCAATACAACTCGCCAAGCCTCACTGGGACTGGCTCCCACGCAAGTACCTACCATTATCTTTAACTCCGGCTGAGACAAAGGACCTTCCCACGCCCAAAACAGTCTTGTGTAATGAACCCAGTCTGAAAGATACTCGTCAGATGTCGAAGTACAAGAAATCTCTGCGCTGAACGATGTCTCCAATACAATGTCTCGTATCCAATAGACGAAGAGAGGAGAGGGCGATTAGACAGATGAGAACCTGGAAGAGATGGTATCAATCAATGACCACACAGATAGTAGCCCAACATCCCCTCTCCTTCTCCCGGCTTCCCTCGCTTCCACGTCAGTGAACAGTATCCAATAACGAGCCTGACAGATCCTGATCACATCAAAGTGCCGCGTGGCACTGTTCTCCCGTGAAGACGTTCAGCAGCGCACAGTATCGACATCACCAGCAGGTAAGTATCTTCTCTCTCTCAATCATCCACAGATCCCGATCTCCCTCCTTGCCGCGTCCAACTCAGCAATGAAGATAGTGTGGCCAATGCCACGTCGGCTATGAGGAAAGCATGGCATGCGCCACATCAGCAATGTCGAAGACAGCATGGCTTGCACCACGTCAGCAGAGGCTGGCGCCGAATCAGGAAGGCGTCAGCCTGCAAGCAGCAGTCTCGCGTTGTCGTCCACAGTGCCAGCGTCAAGTCAGCGTCCAGCCAGCATCAAGCCAGCATCAAGCCAGCATCCTGCTAGCATCAAGCCCGGGTCAAGTCAGCATAGCAAGACTGAATGTCGACTTCCTGGAGGCAGGGTTTCATGTAGGATTTGACGGGGTAGACCTGCCTCAGGTCTCCCACCCACGGCGGCTCAGATTGACTCACAGCCGACGGCCTGGATCCGATACAGTTGCAGACTTCCACTTGGCCTGAATGCTTTCTTCGTACCTGCATACAAACAAGTGTGTGTGTGTCTGACCGCAGGCCTGGGATGGGTCCATGGTGACTTTGACTGAGGGCCGTGGAAGATTGACTTTTCGTCAACTGTCTGGCACAGGGCCCCTGAATCCAACATTTGGGGTCCTGCCTCTACGTGCTGCGGCCTAGGCCATTGTCGGGCCTGGGTCCTTAGACAGGTTATAAGGCATAACGAACGGGTTATTGCACTTGTTTTTCCACTTCTAATTTCTACGACGTCTTGATTTATGTCAGTCATCATTGCGCCGGGCCCATGCTATTCGTCTCAGTATCTTTCCAGTTTTAACAGATGTCCGTGACCCGTCCATGTCTTCTCTCTCTTCAGTTCTGAGTTTCAATGTCACAGCAATGGCAGCGGTCTGTGCTACAGCACGCTGGCTTTTAAAGTTTGTATCCATCCATAATCCATTGATTGAATTTGATTCCATTACCAAGAGTCAAGTTTGAAGATTTTTGGTTTCTCTAACTTTCTCAGGCATTCCCTCATGCAGTAAAGGAAGAATCGGTGTCGTACCGACCAATGCGAGCATAGAGAAATGGTAGGGAGAAGAAAATATAGTATGTCTACTGTGTCACTATGTTGTCAATTTGAATAGTAAGGTGAACTGTTGTTGAACGAAGTAACAGGAACCATACAGCCTGCGGAGTCGTGCAGACACAACGAGAGGATCAGCCTCCTCTCTCTGCGGGGGGATTCTGAATGCTGAGTGGGTTTCCCCGAAAGCCACAACTACCATCCTAGAACCGAATAGAACGCGCTGTCATCATAGCTGTATAGGGGACAACTTTCAGTCCAGATGCAACGATAATGACCAGGGGTTCTATTCGGGTGAAGACGGGGGGGGAGGACTGAAGTATCTGAAAGCCTTGTTGTCCCTAAGAGTTGGAACGATACAGAGAAGATTAGCTAGCATGGCCCCTGTGCAAGGGGATGACATGCATAAATTCGAGAAATGGATAGTAGGAGACTACCTTCTTCCCCCGAACATAACACATGTGCGTTGTATTCGAGTTTTCAAAAAAGTTGAAAAAACCCAAAAAAAAAATGAATGGAAGGTATAGAACGCATATGCGTTGTGTTTGAAAATTAAAGCTATTCGAATAGAACACGTGTGCGTTGTATTCAAATAGAACGCACCCTATGCATTGTATCCGTGTTACAATGCATATGCGTTATGTTCGGGGGAAGAAGGTAGTAAGAACTCTAACTAGGGTTTAGGGTTTTAGGGTTTAAGGTAAGAAACTCATAGAACAGAGGCCAAGTAGAGAGGGGCTTACTCCTTAGGTAGGAAGTGAGGAAGAAGGAGATTTTCAGAAACAGAGCTTCGTCTAGATTCTAGAATAAGGGTAGCGTGGTATGGTAGAGGATTAATTAGAGAGAGATTGAGGGTTCAATGGAAGTCCAAGACAGACTGGAGTCTGTGGCGAGCAGTGGCCCGTAAGCTAAACTGGGTAATGCTCCCAGGATAACCCATGGTTGAATTGTGAGGTCCCCGGCATGGACCTGTTTTTGGAATATAAAGATCTGAGTGTTGTCTTAAAAAAAAAAAAAAGGGGGGGGGGGGGGGGTAAAAACTACTAAAAACTTAAAAAGTACTGAAAACTTACTGAGAAGGGAAAAAAAAAAAAAAAAAAAGGTTTTCACTGAGCATGGTGGCAGCAGTACTAGTGACTACCTGTGGTTTGGCCATTCTGAATCCCAACGCCCAGCTACAGGTTTTTACAACGGCAATGGCACGACTCGACAGGAGTGTCGCCAAAGGTATCTGGATTTAACACATATAAGTAGAGTGCTAGGAGGTAGGACTACCGTCTTCACCCGAATAGAACGACGTACGGTAATTTTAGCTGCATCTGGACTGAAAGGTGCTCCATACGGCTGCAATGACTGGACGTTCTATTTGGCGGAAGAAAGTAGGGTATGTTAATTGGGGACAGTTTCTGAGTGACATGCCCTGAGCGGCAACGCGTCAAAGGGCTACAGAAGTCGTGTTGCTATCGAATCTTATTTAGTACCACTTCTGTGACGGTAAAAAAAATCCCGTGGCATTGATCTTCCAGTTGTGTATCTGATTGGCTTCTTTCGGTTAATATTTATTATTTAGATGTGTGTGCAAAGCCTTGAAGGTCGACTCTTCTTTTTTTTTTTTTTGCAAACTATTCAGCACAGCTAGGCATGATGGTAAGAGCATGCACACTGAGCTGCCTTACTGATGAAGCCTGTCCATTTATGGGGAGCTGCACCTGCTGGAAATCGGGTCCAGCGTCCCTTACAAAATATGAAACCAGATAATATATGTTCATACAAAAATAATCTA